TTTTTTTTTTTGTTTTTTTTTTTTTTTTTTTTTTTTTTTTTTTCTTTTTTTTTTTTTTTTTTAAAGATCCTACAGAGATGGTCCAGCTGCCAGGACTACTTTGGCAGGCAGCGTGCTACAGGACAAAAATGTAAGAGGATTCTATTAAGGCTGGACAGCCCAGGGTTATTTATACTCCCTCAGCCCCAAGGCCCCCGGACTAAAGACCCAAAGGCTTATTGACTCATTCCTGATTGATTTTTATGGAAAGTCTTCTACCTCTTCATCAGTTGCCAGGGTACCAGGCACTGATAAAAGTGGCGAGTCAAGAACTGCCACTTCCCGAGGCATGGTGGGCCTTATCACACTGTTAGTGTCCAAGCCCAAAGAGATGCTATTTTTGCTTCCTGCAATTCCCAGGTGGATGTGACCGAGCTATTTCAGGACAGGTCTAAGTCAAGAGTAGCCTTTGGGTTGAGGTGGGCTGGGAGATTAACATCTTACCTGGGGTCCTTCAGATAAACCTGTTGGTTTTGCTATCTCATACAGGCCCATCTTAAGTTTTGATGTTGAGTTAAAACTACTTCTACCCCCTTAGTTATAAAAAAGGCCACAAGGAGCATTTATGTGGATTTCTGGAAGTGAGATAGTTATTCCATTCCCAGGAAAAGAAAAATAAAGCTAAGTTACAAAACTAAATCTATATGCAATAAAGTTATTATATACTGCTTTGTTTAAGCAGAGTCCTCTGGAATTTATGTACAGTACATTAGTTTTCAGCTATTTATATTCCACAGTTAGACCTTAAGATTCTCTGGTTTTAAGACAATTGTTAAAGATACTTTTAAAGCTCTGAGCAGTTACAGTACATAAAGATGTTAGCTTTTTGTTTTTCATTAGATGCAAGAAGATGCAGGCTCAAAGTCTGGTTGGACAGCCAGGCTTGAGCAATTTGGTAAATGTGTTGGAAAGGAAATTAGACATTGGAGGATCAAGACCATAAGACACTAGCTCATTAGAGATCAAGAATTCAAACATGACATTCATATTCGTCCATGGCCAGCACAGATTCATAACACGAATTCTATTTAACATCTTTATGAGCATTTTAAGACATGCATTTAAATAAAGTTGTTTCTTATCAGCTAACTCTACTGGGACAACCATTCTAAAGGGCTCCGCATCTTCCAATTACAATGGCTGGGGGAATTACATGAACTTTTTTGTGTGTTTGAGGTTAGTTTGAGGGGAGCTGGGAGAAGGCATGGTGGGAGAAGGTGATAGAAGAGGGTACTTTCTCCTGAGGAGAGGCAGAATGATCACACATGTTCTGTTTGTGGAAATGCTGCCATTGCAGAATGTTGGGATATTGATTACAGAAGCCTAGTTTCATGCAATTTTCTTTAAGGGGAATAGAAAATAGGAACTACTTTAAAAAAAAAAAATCAAACCAGGCACAGTACACTCAAAGTTGGTGTGTCAACACCCCTAAAATGATACTAGTTTGGTGAGGCTGTGAACACCTCTCCCTGGTTATGCACTCTCTTGGGAGGTGCGTTTGATGTGGGAGTGGGAGGGAGAGTCCTCCTCACCTTGGAGGTTCCTGAGGAGGACTTTCAGCTTCTGGGGCTCATTGGTGCGCCTTCTGTTGAAGTCACCTCTAGGGTGGGCACAGTGGTCTGTCTGCAGGATGTGGAAGAGGCTGGCCATGTTGGGCCCAATTTTCTCCATCAGGCTGTCTCTGATTGTTTGAACTGTGTCGTCATCACATTCCAGCAGCATTTCAATAAGTTTGTTGTAGTATCTGCATTAGGAAAGAGAGCAGGTGTGATGGTTATTCACTGACCTCCCAGGCTTTTATCTGGGCTCCGGTCAACACCAATCCCGAAAAGACCAGACCATGCAAATAGTTTATCAGCTGAAGTGGCTTTTGCTTTCTAACCATATGCAATATCCTTTTAGTTTGAGTGCATATGTTCCCTGGATTTACCACACAATGCAAGACAGGTATGTCTTCATGTTTAGCATGTGGGAGCTTTAAATTATACTTCAAATAATAGACTGTAATGTCTGAGATTTTTAGAAACATAGAACCATGGAGCTAGGTAGGACCAGAGATATCATTTATTGATTACTTCAATGCTCTCATTTTGTAGAGAAGAAACCAAGACGGGAGAGCTGAAGTGACTTGCCCAAGGCTGTACAATAGGTTAGTGATAGAAGTGGGACTTAGTCAAATATGATGAGTTGAGCCCAACACCTAATGAACAGTTACAGTCATAGTATATAAATTTATAGTATTTTGAAGTCTGTTTATAATTGTTCTTTCTTTCCTTTCTTTTTTTTTTTTTGGTGATGTGGATATGAGTGAAATTTCTGACTAAACTTCTAAGGCCCTGACTTCTTTGCCCCATGCACTTTTCTATGAAATATAATTTTCCTATTTTATACTCAGGAAGCCTTGAAAAAGACTGCTGACTGACTCTATGTCAAGCTCCATCCAGAGGCTTGTTGTAGTCAGAAGGCCAAACTCCAGGCAATGAGGACTTTAAATAGAATGGTGGTCCTTTGAGTGGGTTTATGGTTCTGTAAGTCCATGAAATCTTCTCTCATGATTCCAGCTTTTACTAGCCTTTATTTTTTAAAAGTTAGTTGATTTATTTCTTCCATAAGCAAGAGAGACAGAGAGAGAGAGAGGCACCCTGAACAGGATTTTAATGTTACAATGCATCCTTTACTTTGGCCAACCCCAGAGTATGGGCACAGTTATACCCAGCATATTCAGGGAGGTCTCTGGATGCAAACCTAGGACCTTCCCATGTGGGTCAGCCTTGCAGAGAATTGTATTATTGCATTATCTGGCTTCCTACTAGCCTCTCCTTAGACATCTTTTGCATGTTTGGATACTGTCACACAGGCTACATTTGACGGTGTCATGATGGTTTTGTTTCCCTGACTGGACTTTATATTTATCGAAGGTAGGATTTATGTCTATATTCTTTGTATCCCTTATGGTCTAGTGCCTTGATGCTATATGGTCTTCTCATTGTATATTTGTAGACTTATTTTGTGACCACCAAGGAAATGGAGTTTAAAAAATAATAGCATTCTTTCCAATAAGTCTTGATCTTTCAGGAGAAAAATTATCTGTAGGTCTATTAAATTTTATATATATAAAAAAAAAAGCCAAAACAAAACAAAAAACCCTTGTGTTTTATATAAATTACCTTTCTCTTTGGGGCAAGTTCTTTATATATCCCAAACAATGAAGCTGAACATTATGGTTCAGAAAGGATTAAACTGTCTACAACTTATAGCATATAAATAACTTGTCCTGTTCCTTGGGAAGATAGTTCAGGAATTTTCCAATGCGGATTGGGATGCATCTGCTCCATTTTGAAGTGACAACTGTCAAAATCCATTAGCTCTGTATTCACTAATAAGCAACTCTCCCGAAGACAGTGACCTGCAGTATTTATATGGAAAGATCCTTTTCTCAGTGGAGCCCAAGGATCTCTGGGACCACAGAATCTTCCATGAATAGAAATCTGTTTATTTTAAACTCATCTCACAGAGCACAGGATCAAACATCTTTCTAGAATAACTTAACCTCCTAGCGAGGTCCTTTCAAAGATCTGCAATAAACAGAGTGGAACGTAGTAATGAAGCTAAGCTAACCCTTCCGTGAGTGAGCAGAATGAAAGATCTGGGGATGGAAGAACAGTGTGGTGTTTGGGGTCACTGACACAGTACTGACTGTACTCATCCCTCTAGGGAGAATTATATACAGCTGTGGCAAAAAAAAAAAAAAAAAATCTTTTGCACAGAGCAACATTGCCCAGTGCTTGAAAATGATAAAGTACATAAGTCAAAGTAGATCTCACTTTGATGAAGAAATGGGGAAAAAGTGGTGTTTGGGGTCACTGACACAGTACTGACTGTACTCATCCCTCTAGGGAGAATTATATACAGCTGTGGCAAAAAAAAAAAAAAAAATCTTTTGGCACAGAGCAACATTGCCCAGTGCTTGAAAATGATAAAGTACATAAGTCAAAGTAGATCTCACTTTGATGAAGAAATGGGGAAAAAGCCAGTTTTGAAAAAAACTGGGAATCAGTAAGTTTATATCAGCAACTTCAGACATCTACCAATACCCTTGCAGATCTCCAGGTGTCTTCCAACTTTCAGGCTATGATAGGACCTGGAACCCTGGATTACTGCACCTATTTCTGAGGGTGAGTAAAATTCTAGAGGACAAGTTTCCTGGTCCTTCACCCCTTTCATAAAGACTATAACCTTAACTCTTCCTCTTCTAGAAAGAACTGTGTTTGATGAGTCCCTAAGAAGGGGAAATATGAAGTTACATTAGAAAGAAATAGAAAGAGGGACCAGCAGTTGGCGTAATGGCTATGTCGATGGACTCCCATGTAGTCAACTGTGGTTTGAGTCCTGGACCTGGTGGCTTAAACTCATGCCGGGCATGTGTGCATGTGTGCCCAAGATCCCGAGAGGAGATCGGAGGAGAAGGAATTGCAGAGTGGCCATCCCCCTTGGGGGGTGATTTCTTGCTTTCTGTCTCTCTATCTTTCTGGCGAGCACATGTGCCCTATAGTGAAAAAACCTCTCCAAAGGAAAAAAAAAAAAAGAATGGAAAGTTTTTTATTGAATTAAAAAATTGAATACACCTGAGCTTCTGTAGTTATCCTTGCTTCCTTGCTGCAGCTTTCAGACTATACATCTCCGCTTTATCAAGATGCCTACTCTTTTCCTCTGAGGGCCCCTACCTTTACTGTTACTTTCTCTGCTAGCCCAGATGTGGTACTTGATCTCAGTATTTCTTGGTAATGACCCCTGCCAGCCTGGTTGCTCTTAGTGACCCCCTACTCCACTGTACTCTCACTGCATTTCTCATGAGCTTCGTTGGCTCAACAAGGATAGGCTAAGAGAGCTCCTTAGATACAAAAAATGACTCTAGTCCCATTAGAAGCTCCTCAAAGGATGGAAACCTTTTCAGGCTGCCTTGAAGTTAGCATAGCTCATCAAGTAACAGGTTAACCCAGTATCTACTCCCTATTAAGGGCTAGAATATGGCATTTACTTCTGGGACTGTGCTGGTCAATCAGATAGATCTTTCATAATTTACTAAGTGAGACAGATTATTTAGAAAGTTGTGCCTCCAGTTAAAGTATACTTAGTATTTGTCACATATTTTTTGAGTACTCTCTTATTACTATAGCTATTAGTAAGCTCTGTCTTCTCTTTTAGGAGAGAATGCACACAGCTTTAATTGCTGACCACCATGGTGCACATATATTCAATTGTGTTTGGTACTCTATTTTTGGAGTGTAGATAGTTCCTGCAGGTTTTGCTGGCTGCCATTTTTTGAAGTAGAAATCAAATAACTTGGCCCAAGGCCATCTGAATTCTAGGCTCAACTCTTATTATGTACAAGCTATGTGACCTTCAAAAGGTCACTCTTCTCTCTGAGCCTCCATTCTTTAATTAGTAAAATGAGGCAATTAGTCTGGAGAACCTTTCCAGTCATCTTCAGCTATGGCATTCAATGTTGCTAGTAACTTAAGACATGTTTTTCTGTCAATATAACAAAACATAGTGCAAGTCTACCTAAGGCCTCTCCTTTGCAGAAGGAGGAGTTAGGACTATTTAAGAAGATTCTTTTATCTTTATGATGGGGAAAGGGGATGTGTTTCAAAGACTTGGTGGGCTACATGTCCTGATCACCCAGCTTGGAAGGACCTTTCTGGGCAGGTTTCTTGCTTCCCACTCTGAAAATTCTAACTTTTTTTTTTTTCTTGGTAAAGAATAAGATCAGATATTCTCCATAGCTACTGTTTCAGCCATGCTTACCCAAATACACTCATACTGCCTAGGAACGTTTTGTGTGAGAGTTTATAAATAGTCTTTTGTTTCCCTTGATCAATATTATTCTTCTGTTTCCTGTTCCCTATCCATGCCCTAGAGAGTTGGAAGCTTTGTCAGTTTTCCCACTCTGAACTCGGATTGGCCTAATTGGTTCCCAAGCTTTGTACTACCCGGCTGCCTGATCAATTTGCCTGCTTCCCTTTTGGTTGAAGGTGTCATTTGCAAATTTAGCTGGGAACACTCTAGCTCCTTTTTCTCTCCTAGGTGCATTTCTGTCATGGGAAACTCCCTTGTTCTAGCTCCGGGTCCAGTCACAGGTTTTTGGGTTCTCCCAGCCCCAAATCTCATGCTAGATAAGTCACAGGAAGGTGGAATGAACCTGTAACTACTTCCTTTCGTAATTCTGTGCCAATTGGCATTTGTCTGTGGTGGGACAGAGGCTGGGAAAGCAGGATGTTTCAGGAGGGTGAGGAGCTTACATAAAGCAAATCAAGCTCAGCATGGAATCGGAAATCTCTCTGGTCCTGACTAGGAATAATATCAGCCAGTTGAAGTGAAATATTTGGAGAAAGGTAAGAGTTACATGGGAGGTTGTGGTTTTCAAGGGATGACCATCCCTCTCTCCAACACCTTCTTCCCCCCACCTCTTGCCACCTCCTCAACCTTTCCTAATAAGTATGAGTCCCCTACGATGAAAGAGAGAAAAAAGACTACTTTCTCTGTGACCATTTTTCTAAAGGTGTTGAAAATAAGACACCTTTAAAAGAAATGATAGCCCACTTAAAAATGTACTAGTCTCTTCTTAGATAAGTTGTGATCTTCAGTCTCACAATTATATTACCCTTTTATAACCCCCCCCTTCATAATGCAAGATACCATTTCAGGTGAAATAGGGAGATTAGTATTACATGAAAATCAGTTGTGTGCCATATTATAGATTATAATTTGTCGCAGGATCCTTAAGAATCTGAACCTATAATGGCTTTGCTAACTTGGCTGTGGTAACATGCACTGCTAAGATGCTGTGCTCTGCAGGCTGGAACCACATGGGAGGCCCAGGTTCCATCTCTGGTCCAACCTAAAAGCCAGGTATAGTGGGAATGTGTGTGTCATCCCACTGACCTGGGGAAGCTGAGCTAGGAGGATTATGAACTTGAGGCTGGCCTGTGCAATATAACAAAACTCTTATTTTTGTTTGTTTGTTTGTTTGTTTTCAAGGGACCAGCAGATGGCGTAGTGGTTATGTCGTTAGACTCCCACATGGCTGACTGTGGTTCAAGTCCTGAACCTGGCAGCTTGAAACTACAGCCAGGCATGTCTGGGTGTGTGCCCAAAATCTGGAGAGGAGAGTGGAGTAGAAGGGATTGCAATGTGGCCATCCCCCCGGGGGGGGGGTAATTTCTTGCTTCCTGTCTCTCTGGCAACCATATGCACCCTATAACAGAAATCTCTCTCTCTCAAAAAAAAAAAAAAAAAGAAAAGAAAAAGGAAGTGGACATGGTGGCATATGCTACAGAACCAGCTGGAGGCTGATATAGGAGGATAGCAGCAGTAAGAGGCCATCTTAACAAAAATGGCTTTGCTAACACGTGCCTCCCTCCCGACTATCACACGTGCTTTGTTTTTAGTCTCTGATTGATGACGAATTCGCTTCTTTTCCATATGGTCAATGGAATAACCAACAATTATCTGGATTTCTCCTTCCCTAGCCCCTTCTCTACAGTGAAACAAGAATCTTCCTTGGAGAATTAAAAACCCAACATTGATATAAGAGGGCAGGCCATTTAAGAGACATGATAGGTTTGGCTTTCCTGTTCTCAGAAAATCAGTCAGAATCCCATGATAGTCATTCCTGAAGACTGGATAAATGACTTTCATAAATTAACTTGGAGTTCTAAAGGACCCTAGCTGGTAGGTAAGAATAAATCAGAATTTCTCTCAAGTTTTCATATGAAGGATCATAACCATTGTCACAGGAGGGGCCACCTTGCAGGTATTCTACTTACATAGGTGTACATGACTCAATCATTCAGAAGCCCTAGAAGGATTTAACTATTACCAGTATCTGAAGAAGGATGGTGGCACCTGGCTGGGACATACATCAGATAAGCCTGTGATAATTCTCGGGGATAGGACTAACGAGCCTAGGATGATATTTGTGAGTAGGTGCCCATGTGGCTGAAGAGTTAAAGGATCGTAGACCTTCAGGACTGGCAGCCATGTGTTAAACTGAGGGGCATCACTGCAGGATGCAAGCCCTCTCATGTATTAGGAATTCACTCCTGGCTGGGAGAGACCGAGCTAGGGTCATAGAAAGGCCTGATGCTCAGATATTCCTAGCTCAGTGGCTTTGGGTCATATTAGATACTAAGATGAGAATGTGATCTGGATAGTCATCAGAACATGATTCCAGGAAATCTTGGACTAGAGGAACGGGATAACCTAAGACCTGGATGAAACATGGGAATGGCTCAGTTTAGCCATTTCACTTTTAACCAGGAAAATTTGAGTCCAAAGGAAGTGTCATGGCTTGTTCTGGGCTACCCAGTGAAGTACTGGACTGGGTGTAAGACTCGCTTGAAATACATGCAGACTTGAAAGTCTGCATTATGACATTTGAGCAGAGGTTTTTGGTTTTTTTTTTTTTTTTTTTTGGTTGGTTGGTTTTTTTTAAATCATGGCCAATTATAATGCTGCACAATCATGGTTTAGCCAAATCTGTTGTCTCAAAAGCTTGTTTGCAGAAATTTCACCATTCCCTTTGGGCTTAGGGCAAGAAACAGATAATGAAAATGCACCCGGAGATGCTGCAGATGAAGCTTTTCTGTTAGCTGCATGGAAAGACTTTTCCTGTAACAGTCGGGGGGGGGGATGTAAGCTGCTTAGACTGTCACAGGCAATCACAAACATATTTTTCCTGCAAAAGCTGGGAAGACTGCAAGCTAAAATAAGAGCATGACTGTGGCAATTTAACTCTCCTTCCCATTCTGGCTCTGCCAGTCAGCTCCCCTACCCCCTCCCTCAACTGAGGAAATAGTGGCCTCAGTTCATACCTGTTGGAGAATTGATGGGGCAGCTGGACAACCTCTGTGATGGCATCGATGTTTTGCTGGACAATACTACACATGTTCAACTTCTTGTAGCAATCTTGCTGCACGTCAGCAATCATCCTCTGGAAAGTGGAGCACCTCCGGATGGTATGGAAGACCTTGGCGCTGACCCCGTTGGCGATGCATTTTAAGCTCTCTTTGACAAATCCTTTTCCCTACCAAGGAGAGAGGATGGGGGGGAAAGTTTTAGCATAAACCTGACAAAAGAGGATGGGACCTTAAGGGGACCTGCCCTGGCACCATGCATATCATGGCCATCTGCCTATCCTTGCTGTGAGAAGACTGTATTCTGTGATCACGAATTTTTAAAAGGATGCTCCCTACTCCCTTAGACTTGACAATTGAGCCCCACAGAAATGCAATGATATGAAAGACACACAGAGTCATAATTAACTACCCTGCAGATTGCAAATAAGCTTCCTAGTCTTGAGATTGAGACTTTGAGAATTCAAACTGCAATCTAATATGCTAAGTCATATGGCGAGGAGAACTTCTTTGTTAGAACATTTTAATTTCCTCTGGAAGAGGAAAAGCTTTTCTGCTCTTCACCCCTCCCCTTATAAGACAGCTACTGTCAGCTCCTTACAATCATGCCTTGGCTGGATTGGGAGTGTCTTGTACAGGACCCGTTTCCTGGCTAAAAGTGTGTGTGTGCACACACGTGTTGAGATGGGAATTTAGAACACAGAGGGTGGGAAACAGGGCTGGCTCCCAACAAGACTGGTTCCTAAGAACAATAGTCTAGCACACCATTAAATACAAGCAGGCGGGAGGAGCAGGGGTCAAGGTCTTGTTACCTGAGTGTCAAATTTAGCAGCGCTGTACAAGAAGGATTTACAGATGTCGTACATCCCATTTGTGTCACAGGAGGAGTTTTCCAGGCATGCAAAAGCCCCACAGCCAACCTGCAGAGCACTGTTGAGGCAGCGAACCACTTCTGAAAGAGACAAACCCATCCAATCTGGGTCAGAGAGTGAGGGCAGCTGGGGGCGATTAAGTGGGTGCAGAGGCATAGGTTTATCCTAGAGGTCTGTGATGGGAGCCAATGGGTAGACCCATTCGAAGAGGGACAGGGTGGGAGGGGTGGAGAAGGGAGGAACGGACAGGCCCCTTTAGCTTGTAAGGGCCAGAGCACATGGAGGAGAAGCTGTTCTCTCTGTGAGAACAGTCTCTCAGTGTCACTGTTCCATGCAATTCTGGAAGCTGGAGATGGAGGGTTGGAGTCCACAGAAGGCACTGCGCCTTTATGCAGCTCAGAGAATCAGAGGTTACCGCTCTGTGCTTGAAAGCATGTGAAGGCAGAAGGCGGTGGCAAGGTGGTCAGGTTTTGGAGGTGGCAAGGCCAGGGAATCTATCTGGCACCTCAGCAATGCCGTACAGAGTGATAACCATGGCATTTTAGGCTGAATGGCAGAGAAGAATTTGCCAGGACTCTACTTGCAGACCCTTTTGATTTGGAGCTTTTAACTTCCCGACATACTGGAGTCTGAACTGTTTGCGTTTCACCACACCCCCCACCCCCCACTATAGGACAGTGCTTAGAGGTATGTATAATCTCTCTCGTATTAAAATTTTTTTTTTTTCTTAAGAGAAACACAGGTGTGGAATAACAAGGCCAAGGCACCCCTTGTGCAAGACTGGAAGAAAACCACAAAGAACTTGCATGAGGCTTTCTACATTCTGGATAAGATCTCCCATAAAAGTAATTTCTCTCCCACAGAAGGGGGGTGTTCTGGCAGGCGGCTCAGCAAGAAATGATCTGCAGCCTTCATACCATAGGATCGTCCTCGGAGATCAAAAGCATGGTTCAGTTAGGCTTACCCACCCCCTCCCACCACCCGCAGCCTCTGGGATGTTACAAGTCATTTCCCTAATTATATATTTCCACGGGTTCAAATTATAACTTTGCTTTAAGCAGTTTTAATATGCATTAGGGCTGCTATTGTTTTAGGCAAGCTCGAATTGTGAATCACTGCATCTCTATAGCAACTAAGTACAAAAGGAAGTGAAGCCCAAGCCCTCCTCTCTCAGGGACCTGTGTTCTTCTGAGGGGAGCATCTTCACCAGCATTTTGACACCTGCGAGCCCATCTTTGCTGACAGTTGAGGGAGAGAGGGCAGTAATGGCAGAGAGGCAGCGGGGTAGGAGAAGTCAGGAGGCAGAGGTGTCACTGTGGGCTTCCTAATGACTCTGTTCCTTCAGAGGCCAAGATAATGCACAATTAACTGCTTCAAGAGTCAGGACAAAGTGAGACAGCTCTTTGGGGGATAAACCGGCCCCTTGGAGAAACAGCTGTTCTGTTTCACAAATCCTCTTTTGCAAGGGGGCTCTCTGGCCTGTGGCTGCATGGGCGATTGAATGGGAGCCCCGGAGAGCTGGGAGGGAGACAAGAACAGTGTCAAGAGTGGGATGTGTAGGGTTTTCTCTGAATCAGCCCTGGATTTGTCAGGCTTGAGGATTATGGTTCCAAAAAATCAGCCTGAAGAGAGAGCTTTCCTGTGTGTTCTCTGACGAGGCAGGGAAGTCAAGTTATAGGTCTTTAAGGGAGATGGAAGAAGAATAGCATTTGAGAGCCATGTCTGACCCTAAGACCAGCCTTGGGAAAGTATAGAGAGCACTTTCAAGCATGCCAACATTCAAGCCTCTCCCCCGCCCCCTCCCCCCCGAAGAGGGTACGTGCCAGATTTCAGGCAATCAGGCTAGGCTTATGCAATGAAATACCCTCAGCAGAGCGCCCAGCTTCTTCGTTAGTTGCATGCAATTTATTAAACAAAGGAACTCCACTTCCTAAGGCGATTGGATTACACTGGCAGTTTATTGCCATTAGGCATGAAACACATTTATTATCAAGATCAGCCGTCACAGACACAGTTGCAAAAGCGAGAGGCAAATGAGGACAGCTCTTTGGGGGCATAAACCGGTCCTGGGTTTGCCACTTACCTGAGTTCTGAGCCGACACCCGGGATTTCCTGGGGTTCACAGAGTCATTCTGCTCCGCCTCATGGGTTGCAGAAGCACTGATCACCAGCACCAGAAGCACTGCTGAGTTTTGGAGCATTCTCTGAGAAGTTTCCGCTAAGTTGTTGGTTTTTTTTTTTTTTTTTTTCCTCCTGTATATACACAGTAAATTTGAAATGCCAATTAGACATACAAGTGGAAATTTCAAGTAGGAAGATAAATATCCCACCTGGAGCCCAGGGAGAGGTTTTGACTTACACCATGGTGGCTAAAAGAACAGCTGTAGAATTAGACTCCCCAGCCTCCAATCCAGGCTGTTACACCTACAGGGTGAGGTGGCATTTCAGAGACCTACTAATTATGAAACACGAGAAACAGAAATGTCCCAATTACAACTGGTGGCTCACTGTACAATTTTATTTTCTTGTAAAGTTCAGAGGAAAAAAAGTAATAATCTATAAAAACTCCATAAATGCATTCTTATTAAAAACCTCTTTCTTAGGAAAGAATTGCCCTACCAAACCCTAATACTGTAATAATAAAAGATATTTGATTATCATTATATTTGATATAATATTTGATATTTGATTTACATTGATGTCACTGTTGTACCATGTCAACTTGAAATTGACCTTCATAGACTGCCACTGAACCACACCCAGTATAAACATTACCATACTATTTAAAGCTGCCGCCGCCGCTGCTGCTGCAGTTTCTGCTTCTTGCACCTCTGGCTTTTGCAAACTGGGGGCCCAAGAGCTGCACCCAGGGATTTTAAAGCCGTTCTTATCGGTCCTCAGGATCAGGGACCAATCAGGTCCCTTAGCTGGTTTGGCTAGCCAATAGGAGGGCACACTCATTCAGCTGGGGCTTTTTGACTTCTTAGAAATATTTTCCAGTAAATTAAAAGTACCTGCTGCCAATGTTACATATGTGTGTGCGTGCGCAGAGATGTATGAAAAAGCAGTTTTCACAGAATTACAGGGTAACTTTGTATTGATCAAACAAAGGGAAAATGATATGAAAATCTCTCCAGGTGCTTTAAAAAAATCTACCCATTTTAAAAAAATGAACTACTTGAGAGAAATGGGTTGCATGGGTAGGGTAGGGAGATGTGATCTCTTTGGATTAGAATTTAGCCTAATTACAGCAGTGATACTCTTAATTTTAACTATTCTCTGTTGTAATCTGCGTATGTAGTATCTTCTTGTCTTCTTTGTATGTACACATTCATGAGTCTATGTTGCATTTTTGTTGCATGTGGGTGACCTGATTTCTCACTCACATGTAAGAGCCCTTGAGAAAGGAATGCATGTGAGTGAAAGAGCCTTGAGGGCTTAAGATATGACAGCTCTGAGCTGAGGCCCCGGTTCAGATTAGCTCTAGGGCTCTGGCCAAGTCCTTGTCCCTTACTCTACCTCTTTTTCAAAGCAGGAAGGACAAAGTGGGACTCTGGCATTCCTTACAGCTCTAAGCCGATGTGATTCTTCAGTACCAAAAATGAATCTTGACTTTGTCTCTTCAGGCACCAGCAGAATTGCACACTCCAGGAGTATTCATTACCATAGGTACACACTTACACACCTACACACACCACACTCAAGAGGGGCACATTGCGAATGCCTGAAAATTAATAAACTGTGTATTCAAGTCCGGGAACTTCATAATCACATTGAAACAATAAGCTGGCCAAAGCAAGACAAAACCTGCTGGGTAAACCAGTTCATTTATTTGGGGGTGGGAAGGAAAAGAGGGAGGGCTGGGAAAAAGAAGCAGAGAAAGACCAGAATGTGTCAGAGAGAAGAATGATAAACTCTAGACTTAATGGGAACATTATAGTGGAATCACAAATCATGCCTGGTAGAGAAGCTTATAGTTTCTTTTTTATTTTACATTTTTTTTTTACTTTTACTTTTTTTTTTGTTTGTTTTGGAGAGGTCTTTGCCATAGGGTGCGTGCGCTCACCAGAAAGAGAGAGACACAGAGACAGAAAGCGAGAAATCACCCCCCCCAGAGGGGATGGCCATGCTGCAATCCCTTCTCCTCCATTCTACTCTCGGGATCTTGGGCACGCACGCACATGCACCCCGCGTGAGTTTTAAGCCACCGGGTCCAGGATGCAAACTGCGGTCGACTACATGGGTGTCCGGGGACATAGCCATTACGCTAACTGCTGGTCCCGAGAAGCTTATAGTTTCTTATAAGTGATCTGTAGGCAACACTGAGGTTTGTCCCTAACTTCTGGAGGAGGTTAATGATCCATGAGAGGACTTCTCAGGGTAGGAAGGGGGTCATTAAGAGCTGGGCTGGGGTGAAGGAATTAAGCAATAAAATGTTTTGGGAGGTAAATGAGAAAGAGCTATCAATGATTTGTACAGACTTGGGCAGGATAATCTTGCAAAGATATAGGGTCAGGGGCTTCAACTTAAATCCTAAAACCTTCAAACACAAGTTGAAGGACTGCCAAATGTATGAACTCTAAATCTCACCAATATATGTCGGGGGAGTGGAATTGCTGGGTAAATATCCCCCACTTCTTACACAAAAGGATTGTCTGGAAAGCATGAACATTTCCTAGAATAATAGGTAGAAGGAATAAGGGATACAGAAATTATCTAAAAGAAAGGAAGGCAGGGGCCAGAAGGTGGTGTAATTGTTAAGGTGCTTGACTCTCACATGGGCGACTGCAGTTCGAGTCCTGGACCTGGTGGCTTAAAACTCATACCAGGCATATGTTGTACATGCCACAAATCCCAAGAGGACAAGGGATTGCAGTGTAGCCATGCTCCAGGGGGGCTGATTTCTCACTTTCTGTCTCTTTGGCTAGTGCACATGTATTATAGCAAAAAATCTCTCTACAAAAAAAAATGTAGCCATGCTCCAGGGGGGCTGATTTCTCACTTTCTGTCTCTCTGGCTAGTGCACATGTGTTATAGCAAAAAATCTCTCTACAAAAAAAAAAAAAAATAGGAAGGTGGGGGGACCAGAAGATAGCATAATGATTACGTTGCTGGACTCATGTAGTCGCTGACTGAGGTTCGAGTCCCAGATCTGGTGGCTTAAACTCATGCCGGATGCATGTGTGCGCATGTCTAAGATCATGAGAGGAAAATGGAGAAGGGATTGAGGCATGGCCATCCCCCCAGGGGGCGATTTCTCATTTTCTGTCTCTCTGTCTCTCTCTCTCTGGCAAGTGCACTCGTAAAAACCTCTTAAAAAAAACAAGAAGGTAATGGTCAGATTTCCATTGCCTAATAAAATACATTTTATATTAACTGAAAATATTCACATTTCTTGAGTACCTTCTGGGCTTAATGCTAGGGGATGTGTAGGGGAGAGTAAAAGAAGCACTCTAGAAGACTCTATATTGATATTGCTTTCTTTGACATGCTTGTAGTCAAGTAGGGAAGATGGTTAACCTTATTATTTCCTCAGGGTTTAAGATATCAGGCCCTGGTATGGTAAGATACAGGCACAATCAACATTGGCTAGAAGTGTAGGGATGGCTTCTTGGAAAGATCTGCAAGGAATGATTAGTGGGGAAAAGATGTGAACCACTGTTATTACTTTTTAAGAATTTAGGAAAAAGTTATGATTTTTTGGGGGGGGTATAGTCCTTGTTCTGGAAACCTCCAGGATTATTTTTGTTGCTTTTGGCAGGAGTGGTAGATGTATGGCAATGTGATACAGCCACTCAGTGTTCTCGTCCAGAAAGAGGACAAGAGGATAAATGCACAGGCTTCCCGAGGGTTGACCTTGCCTTGTGTTTGTCGGCATCCACTACCCCCTTCGCCATCTTTCACTGTGACAGACAGTGCTGTTTGTCGCTCTGGCTGCAGGTGACCCTGTGCTGGTCTACTGCCCGCTTGGATGAACATGATGTCCTTCAAATATTAGAAGTTTGTGTTCCTTTCTCATGCTGGTTTACTGTTCCTCCTTACTTCTCACACTTACCGTCAGGTACCTAGAGGTTTACTGTTAGGTGTGTCAAGTATGTCACAATGGCAGGAAAAGTTGTCATTTGAAGAAATATAATAGCCACACTGATGTGAATATAACTAGTGCATGTGTCAATATGTTTGAGAACATTAAGAAAGGGAACTGAAGTCTAAGCAGAAATAACCCAATGTCAATTTTTCCCCATAAGGGCCACGAGTTGAGGATGTTTGGCTGTTGGCAATTACCATGCTTCTGTTCTGGAGTTTGGTATAAAAATGGTAGAAGGTGTTTTGGGAAGTCTGGAGCTGATGTCTGGTTCCTTTGTAACTTCTCCTGGGGGGTCTGAGAGCATGTGGAGGAGACTGAACGTCAGGTTTCAGAGTTTGAATTTTTATCTTCCTATTAATGGGGTATCATTAGGATTCTTGAATAGGTTTGGTAAATAATGTGTTGAAATCAGTGTTTGGGGAGGATCGTTTCGTGAAAGTTTGGAGGAAGAAAAGCATGGAGTTTATAGGTCTTGTTAGTAACTCCAGTTTGTGCTGAGGAGGTTCTGGGCCACTGTGATAGCAGTAGAAAAGGGAGATAAATATGAGGGCTTTTTTGAATTCAAGGGAAACTACTAGGCCAGTAGGTGACATGGTGGTTAAGGCACTGGATCCTGTATGGCTGACTGTGGTTTGAGTCCCAGACCTGACAGCCTGAAAACCATGCTGGGCGTGTGTGTGTGTGTGTGTGTGTGTGTGTGCGCGTGTGCTTATTGTGTGTGTGTTTGTGTGTGCGCGTGTGCATGTGTGCTCAAAATCCTGAGAAGAGAATGAAGAAGAGATTCCAGTGTAGCCATCTCCCCGGGGGTGGTGGTGATTTCTCATTTTCCGTCTCTTTCTCTTTCTCTTTAGTGAGTATATTTGGCCTATGCCAAAAAAAAAAAATCTAAATAAATAAAAGGGAAACTACCAATGAACTTTTGATAAGGGAAAATCTTTTCCCCAGTTTAATGGTAATAGAGATAAGACACATCCAACTCTTTCTGCTACATCTTTTAGTTATGGTTTTTAGTCGACAGGACTACTTAGTACCTCCGTTAGGCAGGCACTTTCTGGCATTCTCTTAAGGTAGTGGAATTACCTAATAAAAAAGACTTGATTGTATGTTGGGTAGATGAAGAACCTTCCAAAGCCTGGCTGCATGAGTTGTAGGTG